AAAAACCTTTATTTACCGGCCCCAGCCATTGGCATAATGGCTATGTTGCTGAACTCCCATGTAGTCAACCACTATTCGAATTTCGGACCCAGTGGTTTAAACTCACACCGGGCACATGTGCACGCATGCCCAAAGACCCCAAGAGGAGAATGGAGAAGGGATTGCGGCATGGCCATTCCCCCTCGGGGGGGTTTTCTCACTTTCTGTCTCTCTGTCTCTGTCTTTCTGGTGAGTGCACATGCCCTATAGCAAAAACCTCTCCCCCCAAAAAAAAGAGTTATTTATGGGGGCCAGAAGTTAACATGGCGATTAAGGGCACTGGACTTCCACATGGCCAACCGCAGTTCAAGTCCCAGACCTGGTGGTTTGCTTTCTCACTTTCTCTTTCTCTCTCTCACTCTCTGGTCAAATTAAAATAAATAAGAGTTAAATAAAATAATTCTTTAAAAAAATTATTTACTTTTACTTACTTATTTTAATTTGATCAGAGAAAGAGCGTGAGAGAGAAATGAGAAAGCAAGCCACCAGGTCCAGAACTTGTACCGCAATTGACCATGTGAGTCCAGTACCTTAAACACCATGCCATCTGCTGGTCCCTCAAACATCTAATGTAACAGTTCATCTCTGACTATGACCTCCCCACCTTCACCAGGATCATATTATGTTCAACCAAAGAAATCTCTCCTCATCTCCTCTTACAAACTAGCCACAGTACACATACCACTTCCTCACTACTTTTCCTCCAAGAAAATAAGCTGGCCCTTCTCTTCCCATTCCAAGCCACCCTCTAACAATACCCTTGACACATTCCATCAGCCTGCTTCTTCAGGGAACTAATTATATAGTCAAAGGATGTATAGCACAGTGAGTTAATAGAACAAGGGTTCTAGAATAACTCAGGCTGGATTCAAACTTTTGATTCAAATACTGGTTCAACCACTTACTATGACCTTGTGCAAGTATGGAGGAATCATATAAAATGAGGATGTTGGGGTCAGGAGGTAGTAGAGTGGTAACACAACTGGACCCACACAGGAAAGGGCTGGGGTTTGTAGCCCCAGATTTCCCTGAGCATACAAGGAGTGCCTACCAAGATCAAGACTGACTGAGACTGGGTATAGACCATGACATAAAGACCCTGTTGGTGATGTTTGTCTTTCTGTCTCTCCCCTATAAAAATTAAATGAATAAACTTTAAAAAAAAAAAATGATGTTAATAAAAACAATATACTCCTAATCACTCGATCCATCAATATTAGTTATTATTACTATCAGTCCAAAGAACACTTATTCCCTATAAAGCTCTACT